AGAAGTACCGCCAGTAGTACTCTTTACCCTAATGGAAAGTACCCTTTCAAGACTGTCACTGTCAATGTTCTTAAAAATAAACAAAATATACATACAACCAAACTTATATGGAATCGTCTATTATTATTCATAATTTTTGAGATGTATGAAAATTTTGTGTTTATGAATAAAACTCAGTCCTTACCAATGACTTTTAATGAAAAATAATTCATATAGCAATAAAAAAAATAATCAGTTCCCAAAATAAACAAAATGGTATTTTTTTGGTTTCTGAAACGAACTTAAGATTTAAATTTTTAATGGCTAAAAAGCATAAACAAAAAGAAAATTGATAATTTTAATATTCCTTGTTGTCACCTCTAGCCCTTATGCAAGCTTCTATCTGTGCTGGCATGCTTCTTATTAAATTATCCACGTTGTCTTTTGGAGTATGTTTTCCCATTCTGCTAATGCTGCATCAATAAGCTGTGCGAGATTTCCTGGATTGTTTCGACGAGCTCTAACCCTTCTTTTGAGCTAGTCCCACAAGTATTCGATAGGGTTTAGATCTAGTAAATAGGCAGGCCAGTCAAAAACTATGACACCTTCCGTTTCCAGACGTTTTCTAGTCACTCTGCTGGTATGGGGAGGTGCACTATCAGCTCTCCTCGCAATTGCAGCTCTCCAAAGAGTAACGATTGGTTCTAGCACCAAATCAACATATCTCCGACCCGTTAAAATTTGTTGAAGTGGTAACAATGAAGTTTTTGCTTCCAGTATAATACCTCCCCAGAACCTTACAGTTCCTCCTTTATATCTTGGTACAGATTTGGCAACCTGAAGTCTCGCTCGTCTTCCTGGAGCTCTGAGAACCCGAATTCGATGGTTATCTGATCTTTAGTTAAGGCCAATTCTGGTCTCATCCGAAAAAAGAACATTTTGCCAATTCTGTTGTCCAGTTTTGCTGTTGAAGGCATCAATTTAGCCGGTCAATTTTATTTTGCCGAGATAACTGTGAGATCCGTAACTCTCTCCTACTGTAAAACCCTCGTGCACGAAGCCTTTGTAGCTGCCAGAAGATGTCTTTGTAGCTCTGGATGAGAAACATTGGGATTTATTCTACCAATTTAGCACACAAGGCAGTCTTGTTGTTCAGTTGTAACTCTTTGGCGACTTTGTCTGGGCCTATCCTTGTGTGTTCCTAATTCTAAGTACCTTGCATATATTTACGATACAACACCCTGGCACAGACCCTGGGTAACGCCTGCTATCTCTCCTACGTCGCTCTGGAGCATTCCTTGTTCGGTGAGAGCAATAATTCTCTCCCTCTGTACATCTGTTAATCCAACAATTTTTTTGGATTGAATGAGAATTACAGGACAGTCGTTTTACCGGACAGTGCCGTGATTTTACTACTGAATACAAAATTCAAAAAATAAATCGCAGCTGTCATTTATTCTTTATTCTCATGTTTATTTACAACAAAAAGCCTTATCTTAAAGTTGTATACCAATTTTTATCTTTGCAAGAAATTTAGTCAAAAATAAAGAGTGATTCCATATAAGTTTGGTTGTGTGTATTATTTTTACTTAACCTTTCGAGGGCTGTCTTTATTTTATCGAAACTTTTTGTTTTATTTTTATCTCTAGAATCACCCATAGAAGTTAGATACACTATTTGACACGCTGTATAATATTTCATTAATAATATATTAAAAAAAAATAATTATTATATTAGAAATTTTAATATTTATCATATACTTTAGTAATGATTATAATTAAATAATTAACAAATTATAATGTATAAAAAATTGATTACTATGTCAATAACTAATTAGCACAGATTAATATCAGTTTATTAAAAAAAAAAAAATTATAAACTTTTTTGACCACCTAATTAAAAACAATAATGAAATTACGGGACGAATTTGAAAATGTTGCATTCTTTGACACCTTTCGTATCTTGCTTATCTTATAACTTATACGCCCGAACTTATAACTAAAAAGTAAGAACTGTGTAGTTGAGTTTTTCAAGTAGAATTCAGTGGCGTACAACCAGTTTTTTGCTGGGATCTGTCATTTTCGAAATATGGTTCGAACTTATGTTTCTTTTAAACAGGAGGCCGTATGTATTATCTCCCTTGTTATAAGTTTCTAAAAATATAATATATACTCTATACTCATTTTCATAAATAAGATTCAAAAATTGGCACCGGGAGGCACGTATAGCCGCCCATTTTAAAGTTGGTAGGCAGTTCTTTTAGTTTCAATTATCTCAAAAACTGCGACTTTTACTGATTTTGAAGTTATTACAAATTTTGTTGCAAATATTATTCCTAATCTTAAATTGAAAACCGCGTTTTCAATTTTCACTATTACAAAATTTCACTATTTAGTCGGCTTCCTAAATATCTAAAATGTGGTACTTATTCAATATTGTGTCCGCCGATTTTTATCGGCATTGGATTAATTTGTATTTTACTCATAAACATCCAATTTCGTCTTCTTGAAATTTATATTAATACCCCATTTGCAACTGCCGAAAGAGCTCTGTATGTTTGACTGAAAAATGTAATACTATGACTGAAAATTTTCATGCAAAATTTGCAGTACTATTGTAACAATAGGGTCATGTAAAATAGGGCTTCACGTGTGCCTAGTCCGCTACGTAATCCAAACTGCTCTTTTCCGATGTTCTATTCACTGAAAAGTATTATTAACATGTGACTCATCAGACTAATAAGCCTGTAGTCATCACATCTACTCGCTTTGGTATTCTTGGGTAAAGCAATAAATATCGATCTCTGCCAGTCGCCAGCTAATTTTCCACTTTGGCAAACCTGGTTAAAGAATGCTGTCAAGACAGATATAGTCGTTGTCGAGAAGTTTTATTAGTTCTGCCGGTGTTTCGTCTGGTCCAAGTTTTGTTTGTTTTTGCCTGTTGTATGGCCTTTTCCACTTCCTATTTGAGTATACTTGGATCGCATTCTGCTTTATAATCTGCCAATAGTATCTCTGGAGCTTCCCGAGTGCCATCATCAAATAGTTGTTGTATGTGTCGTTGCCACTCATCACATCGGTCTTCATTTGTCATTAATACTTGTCCACTAGCGTTGTGCAGCACTGATACCAATTTTCTCTTCTGTACACCAGAGATTTCTTTCAGCTTTTTAAGTTAGAATCATCGTGTAAGATTTGAAGGTGTTCATGTTCCTTCTGCTTTTTTAATTCTTTTGCGAATTACCCGATGCGTTCGTATGTACTGGGCATGATAGTTGTTCTTATATTTTCTTCGTTCATCCATGGGGTCTAATATTTATTTCGTCATCCTCTTCTTTCGTGCTTTTGTTTTTTTTTTGTTTAATTATGTTATCTATACTTTCATTTTTTAGTGAAACTTTGATATCCGGACCTAAATAACACTAGTTCAAAAGAGTATTATTATTTTACTTACTTTGATTTAACCAGATAATTTTGCCTATTATTATAATAAACTGAAATAAAAATGGACTTATGCAGCTTTTAGATCAGAAGCTGTCAATCAGAATTATCGATATTTTTGATGCACTTGTGCAATAATTTCACACACCGTAATTAACGTGGAATAGCCAATAATCAAAATTAGACTTCCAATAAATTATTATTCGATTACTTTGATTACTTAATTTAAATCGGCCGCGCATTTTAAAAATTATAAAAATTATAGAGCATCTTATATTATATTTAGAAAGGTCATAATAAGGCAAATAAAATCAAAAAATAATACGCAAGGTCTCCCATTAAAAAAATACAGGCTTGGGTTATATCTCAAGAATGACCCAGCAAAAAACTAGATACGCTTCTGAAATCTACGTGAACAACTCTGTAGGACTCAGTTTTCCACTTTTCGATAGGTACATGATAAGGTATAAGTTAACTGAGATACGAGGAGAGTCGAAAAATGCAATAATTTCTAATTTACCTTGTATTTTAGAAACTAAGAAGGCTATAATGGAGATAATTACAGACAGAGATAATTATTGAGCGTTATTAAAAACATTAGGCGATCAACTCTATTTTTCCAAGGCATCAAGTTATTTTTTTACTTTATTCGATAGAAAATGACACTCTCAATAGAATGACATATCATAATAATATGTCAATTTTTGACATTTTCGCATATGGTTTAATTCAAATTGTAACATGCGGTTCATAACGACAATTTGACTCGAAATACCAAGTGTGTGGTACCAAATTATTTATAAAAAAATGCTATTTCCAAATATGCCAATGAGCCACCCTCGTTCCATTTGAAAAAATGAGTCCAAAACGATTAAAAACACGATTTGGGCTTCTTTTAACCAGCCAGGACAAGACATTAAAAACTCTCGTTGGGCTCGTTGATTAAAAATTAGTGTTTTTAACACAGCCATGGAACTCTAGATTAAAATTTAAAATACAATTTTTTTAAGCGAGAATGTCAAAAGTTGACACATGATATGTCATTCTATTCAGAGTGTCATTTTCTATCGAATAAAGTAAAAAAAACCAAACCGAGGGTGTTATTTAAAAATCAAAAGTTGTAGTCATTTCAAGTGATTGAAAATAATTGAATACGTCAATCAATCCAGATTTATGTTATATGCTAACATACCAAATATGTTTTTTTATCTGAAAAAATATAAAATTATAGGGTTGAGCCACTTTTGAGACGCACTCGGTATAAAATTTTTAGTTAAATCAGAAAGTAGCAGTGATATGAAAACCGCATCTTTGTACAAGACACTCTCTAAAACACACGAAAATGGGACACCCTGTACAAGGATCTCGCAAACCGGAAGAGAAACAAAGATGATCAAATTAAAGAAGTGCTGTACCATCCTGTATAACATGTTGCTTAATGGTTTTTTTTTCTTAATACTACAAGTTTTTTTAATTTATCTGTTGATTTATATTATATTCGGTTAAATTTTGAATTTAAAACAGCAAGCTCCTTTAAGTTCGCATTTATAAAAGGCTCGCCAGTTGAATAAATGTCTCTTAATTCACTTTGCGCCTGCTGTAATCTGTCCAGGAATTAAACGTATAATAGCCGCCTTAACCGACCTTACTACATGAATAAGTGCAGTTGTTGCCTTGAATTTAATAATTTTTTTCTTTTCGTTTCAATCACACCATAGAAAGAACTTGAGCGGGATATTTTTTGTTATATTGTTACCATTTGAATCGGTTAGTTGGACAGTAGTTAGTAGTGGTCGTTTATTTTATTAAGGTAAGAAATATTATTAAATACTTATGGGAAAATTAGTATTTATATTGTTATGGCTGATTTTTTTATGATTTTTTTAATAATTTTAAGTTTTAACATTTGCAGATTATTAAAATCATTTTTATCAATTACTAACTATCTATGGTACCTACTACTAATAACATGTGTAGAAAAATCATATTTCGCAAATATTTTAATTACATTATTAATTTTGAATAATTCAATATACAGGGTGCTACAAATTCGGGGTACGAGCATTGGTATCTCGGTAACAGTAATAGATACGAATATGGTTAAATTGGGTTAAAGTTGCGCTTCGGGATGTTCACCAAGATGCCATCAAAAAAGTTTTAAAAATTTTAACTATTGCTGATCTTTTTGGAAAAAACGGATTTTTTTGAAAATCAATTTTATTTTTTCCTGTCGTTAGTTTTTAGATAATAAAACAACTAATTACACATTCTCATAGCCACTTTATTATTGTAGTTTATTTGACTTGCAATCATTCTAAGTATCGCTGATATGAGGTCTGTTCTCAGAAGAATCCCTGACTAGTAGCGCGTTTCTTATTGGTTGAAATGTGTAGAAACCAGACTAACAATCAGGTTTTTACGCATTTTAACCAATGAGAAACGTGCTGACTAGTCAGGGATTCTTCTGAGAACAGACCTTTTGTTACCGGCCATGCACTTTTGACAGTATTCCCATTTGGACAGGACTTCTAATATAAAAAAAATCCATCTTACTGAACCACTCTTCTGACCATTACCCTCATACCATTACCACTCTGCTGACCATCTTACTGAACCACTCTTCTCACCATTCTTACTGAACCACTCTGTATAGGTACACAAAAATTATTATAAAATATGTGATTTATTTCGATTAAATTAAAAATAGACTTTTCTTCATAAGAACTTATGAATTCGTATTCGCGTATACAGGGTGTCTCAATATTTTTTGGGCATTACTGGTCATATTACTATCTACTACATGACTACTACATATTTTTGGATACAAAATAAGTTTATTGGACACAATTTACCTTTATCCAAAAATGACTCTATTGATGAAAAGAATTTATTTCTATATGACAACGTTTTTATTTTGCATTATAGTAATTTCTGTGTACAGGGTGTCCCATTTGGGTTGAAATTATACGGTATCTCCGTTATTAGTGAAGATAGAAGGGTGCGGTTTGCACAAACCTGTCCCACTTTTTTGTCAAAGCGAAAATGTCGTAAACAGAATTTTCATAGCCCTCTTGGTTTCTGAGCTACAGGGTCTTTTTGAAAATATTGCTGTTTGGGACACCCTCTGTATCTCTGTTATTGTTAAAGGTATCGAGAAGGTAAAAACTGTTTATTGTAGAACTTTTTACGTAGAATACAGTGGCGTAGTCTGTTATTCTATAAAAATAATTTTTAAAGATATGAACTAAAGTTAGGTTTTCTTAAATGAAACACCCTATATATTTATAAATTATATGATCTGACTTGCCAAAAGCTTCTCAAAAATATATATCACTCTATATTTATTTTCATTATTTACTGCAATATTTAATAGTTTTTATTAAAAAAATCATATTTATTAGTAGGCCATGATTGATAACAAAAGAAACTAAAGAATTATTAAAAGTATACTGCTATATGACCCTTGTTTTATTTTGGGAGCCACTAAGAAATTATTTACATATTAGAGAAACTTAATTCTCTACCGCTATTTGTAAATCTTGGAAGCTATCGCACAGGAACTTTTAGATATTCATTTAGCTAATTTACGTCAAATATACTTTTTTTACTTCTTGTTGTTCCGCTCACAACTTTGAAAATATTAAATTATTATTTCTCAAATCAATGAAATTGGAACCAATGGAGCCATATGATGGCCTCCCTAATTACCGGATTTGTCCGTTCTCGATTTCTGTTTTTGGGGATTTTTGAAATATCAAATATATCGTGGCAACTACAACAATGTCGAATACCTGGAAAATGCTTTAATAATGCAAGCTTTTAGATATTTGCAAACCCCATCCCGTTATAATAAATTCCGTAATAAAAAAAAAAGAAAAATATATTCAGTGATTCAGTGGTAACAGTTCAAAGGTAAAATATATCAATCCCAGATAAAATTTTAATATGTGTATGACTATTTTAGTAAATACAATTTTGATTTTACCAATACCATTTTGATTTGTCACGGCCTACTAATAAGAAAATTATATATTTTAAACATTGCAGTAATTAGTGAAAATAAATATAGAGTGATAAATATTTTTGAAAAGCTCATAGCAAGACGGATAATATGATTTCTAAATATACAGGGTGTTCCATTTGAAAAAACATAACTTTAGTTCATATTTTCAAAAGTATCTTTTTTACAGAAAGAGAAACTGTCTACGCCACTGTATTCTATGTTAAAAGTTCTACAAGAACCTTCTCGATATCGTCCATAATAACGGAGATACCGGGGATGTCCCAAATTGCAAAATTTTCGAAAAGACCCTGTAGCTTAGAAACGAAAAGGGCTATGAGAATTTTGAGTACAGCATATTCCGTTTGACAAAAAAAGTGGGACAGGTTTGTACAAACCGCATCTTCCTATCTTTACTAATAACGGAGATACCGTATGATTTCAACTAAAATGGGACACCCTCTACATAATTAAATATACTTTTTATTAGCAAATGCTAAATGGGATTTTTCTTAGCTTGATAATACTGATCATGAATATTTATAATTGTATTACTATGATGTTTAGCTCAATATCTTATTTAGCTACAATACCAAACACAATTCTTATTTAACATACCTACAGTCTGTATTGGAGTAAACAGTACTATTTTACTGGAGTGTTTTGATCTGAATAATTTATGAAATAATATATTATTTGTTGAGGTAGTCAACAATATTCTCCTGCCGTCTAATTCTATAGTGAACATAATATGATATTCTAATAACAATCACTTGAAATTAATTCCGAAGGTAACGTTTTAGCGAGTTAGATTAAATAAATATAACGTCTGTATTTTTTATTTTTTTCATAGCCTCTTTATGAAGCTTCAAGATCTAAACTAGTGTCTTCCCCGAAAAAGGCAAAAATATAATTTCTTTTGACTTATGTATACAGGTTGTTTAAAAAAATATGCTAACAAAAATATGATTGATTTCAACAACTCCTTAAATGACATTAAATAGTCTACATAATTTTGCTAAGAAGAGAAAAGTGTGCGGCGCACATAATATATTTATGATACTATTTTACTCTCTCAATTCCATGACAGCTGCAGCCATTATTATATGACATTCAAACAATTTAATTTTTGAAATAGATAGCCACATGTATTCTCTTTATGGCACAGTGGCTGTGGTAATCACTAAATTTGACGTTTAGACTATACACATATTTTTGACAGGCAGTTTTTTTCGTCCAAAAATGTTAAATTTTTTTTTTCTCAAAAACGGTTAATGTTAGGTATTGTAGAGTGTTTGATATCAAAATTCATAAAATTTTACAGAGAATTTAAGTATGTAATAAAAAATGGGGGCACCTATTTAAAATAAGAAAGTTGTCGTCAACTTCCGGTATTTCCGGAAGTGCCGCCATATTGAAAATATTTTTAATCGATAGATCTCGTTGTAAAACAATGATTTGCAAAAAATTTCCGGTCTAGATATTGTGGTTCTCTAGAAACTTCTAATGCACGCTCAGCCTGGGACACCCTGTATAACGAATAAATCTTATTTTTACGTGAGGAATCTCCTCACGAGAGATTGCACATGTTTTAGTTATGAAACTAAGTATAATTTTTAAAATAAATTAAATATTGTATTTACATATAACGTTTTATAAAGTATGTGGGATATATTCATTTCCTTTATGTATTTATCAGGGATTATGAAGAACTATTAAAATAAAATTACAACGAAAATGTCAATGAAATATTTAATTATTGATAAAAGTTATTAGTTGTTATTCTGGTTTCTTAGAGGTATGGTGCTAAATTAATTTTTAATTACAAATTTTTAATAATAATAATTAATTACTAATAAGTACCGATTATTAATTACTTCTTTAATGCTATATTTAGGCTAATCCATAAGAGATTCATTTTAAGTTTTTCTTTATTATTTCAATTAAATTCTTGTCAAAAATCTGGTATTCTTACACCAAAAACTTCATTATAAACACAATAAATAACAAAGCAATGTAAAATGGTACAATAACATTAAAAAATAGAAATTGTTTTATAAAATAATTTTGAGCAATCCAGTACCTATAATAAGAAAGATATTTTTGGAATAAAGAAGCATCATATTTTATTACAAGTATATAGAAGAACAATATACTGGGTATTTCTCAAAAGTGGCTTAGCCCTATAACTTTTTTATTTTTTCTTAATTTATGACATACATAAATTAAGATTGATTGATGTAATTCATTTGGTTTCGATCAGTTCCTGTTTCGCTGGAAATTAATACTTTTGGGTTTTAAATGACACAATCCGTATTTTTTACTTCATTTGATAGAAAATTGGATTCTGAATAGAACTACATAATATCATATTATGTTAACTATGGAAATTTTTAATTAAAAAAATGCTTTTTAAATTTCAATTTAGCGTGACTCGAAATACCAAGTGTATTGTACCAAATTATTCGTAAAAAAATGCTTTTCCATTTGAAAAAAATGAGTTACGATTAAAAATATGATTTGGGCAACTTATAATCACCCAGGAACAAGACACGGAAAACATTAGACGATCGAATCTTTTTCCAAGGCTCCTTGATTAAAAATTAGTGTTTTTCACACAATCATGGCGTTCTACAGTTTATGCCCCAGGACTGTCTTTACAACAGGAAAAACTTTTTTATTATTGACATTTTGAGAAAAATGCATTCTTCATAAAAAATGCGTGTTTGTTCTAAAATGGTTGATCAAGTTTATATTTTTCCAAATTTCCACACCGTTTTGGAGAAAATTAATAGAACATGAAAATATAGTTGTATATTTTCAAAGTCCTGAAAATCAAAACCCGTTCCTATGGTAATATAATTTCGTTTTCAGTTTTTGATATAATAATAGATTGAAATTTAAAATATGATTTTTCTAAGTGAGAATGTCAAAAGCTGACATATGATGTTGTCATTCCATTTAGAATATCATTTTCTATCAAATAAAGTAAAAAAATACCGAGCGTGACATTTAAAAAATGAGAGAAGAGGTGTAGTCATTTCCGGTGAAACAGGAAGTGATCGAAAACAATTGAATACGATTCAATCCTGATTTATGTTATATTATACTAACGTACCGAATACTGTTTTTTTATCTGAAAAAATAGAGTAAAATTATAGCAGTGAGCCATTTTTGAAAAAAAATACACTCGGTATGGGACTTCTTTGGAACATTAGCTTACTCTGTATGTCAATTATGACTAATATATACTTATTGTTTTCAGAGTATTCTATCAATATCCTATACAGGAATACTAATCAAGTGTAATTATGTGTACAAAACTGCTTGGCACTAATGGGGACGAAATATTTAAACAAATATTTAAGGAGTTTAATAAGACGGAAGACGATCTACAAGAATGTATAAATATAATGAGGGAGTGGGCGAAGACCCAACTTCATTTCCCTGAAATACCAAGTAAGTTTTACTTCCATGTAATTTATTTAATTTAAAACCAATCATTTTGAATGTTAACGAAATGTTTTCTTCATTCTCTATTTCGGGAGTTTTCCGGATGTATGTTTGTTGTTAAAATATTCTCCAACAAGTTCAGGACAAAAATAATTTTTATTCAGGTTGACAGCTCTAAAAGTTCTCTTGAAAAGATCTGGGTTTTTCGCGATTGGATAAGAAATCTATAAAATATTAAGTTATAGAAAGAAGAAGAGTATAAAGTTATTTGTTATAAAAAACACAAAAAATATATCGTATATTCTACAGGGTGGTCCGAACTGTATTCCGAAAACTTCGGCAGCGTATTCTGCACGTAAAAATAAGTATATAAGTTCGTATAAATGCATGTCCTAAAATGGTTCGTTTCCGAGATACAGGGTGTAGAAGTTTCATATTTATTTCGATTTTTTCCGAATAATTTATGGAGTAGGTAACGTCAATATTTGGATGAAAATTTGTCTCTGGGAGTTTTTTGATATATTATTATGTATAACAAGGAATGCCCCATAGAGACGTAGCAGAGATAGTAGGCGTTACCCCGGTTGTTGTATCGAAAACATATGCAAGGTACTTGGAACTAGGAACTCCCAAGAACTGGCCCAGACAAACAGACAAAGTCGCCAAAGAGTCACTATCGAACAACAAGACCCTTTTGTCTGCCAAATTGCTAGGAAATATCAGAATATTTCTCATCCAGAGCTATATATATATATATATATATATAACTTCTGGTAGCTACAGGTGTGGACGTTTCAGTTCGCTAAATTGGTGCCTTCAACATCAAAACTGGACAATTGAGAATTGGCAAAATGTTCATTTTCCGGATGAGATCAGAATTGGCCTATAAGATCAAATGACCGGGTTCTTAGAGCTCTAGGAAGATGAGCGATATTCCAGGCTGCCAAATTTGTACCAAGATATAAAGGAGGAACTGTAATTTTTTGGGAAGGTATTATGCTGGGAGGCTAAAACTCCATTGTTACCACTTTATCAAACTTTAACGGGTCGGAGGTATGTTGATTTAGTGCTGGAAAAAATCGTTAGGCATCGAGAGCTGTAATTGTGGATAATTTTAACTTCATGCACGATAATGCACCTCCTCATACCTTCAGATTGGCTAGAGAATGTATTGAAAAGGAAGGTGTCATAGTTTTGGACTGGCCTGCATGTTCACCAGATCTAAACCCTGTCGAACAATTGTGAGACCAGCACAAAAGAAGGGTTAGAGCTCGCCGAAACAATCCAGGAAATATCGCACAGCTTATTGATACACCATTAGCAGAATGGTAAACATACCCCGAGTCAACGTTGATAATTTAATAAGAAGCATGCCAGCGTGGATAGAAAATTGTATAAGGGCTAGAGATGGCAACATGGATTATTAAAAATTATCACTTTCTTCTGTTTTTGCGTTTTGAACATTAAACATTTAAATCTCATTTTGATTCAGAAACCAAAAAAATACCTTTGTGTTTATTTTGAGAACTATAATATTAATATAGAATAATAGAATTAATTATAATAAATACTAAATAATTCAACTAAACATAAACTAACTTTTACTTATTTTTATACAGATGATAGAATACTAAGGTTTGTAATATTATACAACAAATTTAGTATAGAAACGTCAAAACAGAAACTAGATATGTACTACACCATGAAATCTCTAATGCCAGAAGTCTATAGTTTACACCCATTATCACCGGATATGATATTACAAAGTAAAATAACGTAAGTACTGGAATACATCAATATCCCATTAGAAATATAGAGTCAAAAAATACCAAGTCTCGTAACGTAAAGTTTCTTTAGAAGCATCTATTCAACAATTTTGTTATAAATATCAATATTAGACATCTTTATTTCTCTAATAATTATAAATACGCACTGAACCGTAATGATAACGAATAATTTACCATTTTGATTAGTATATACAGGGTGCTACAAATTCCAGGTACCAGCATTGGTATCTCGGTAACCATAATAGATACGAACATGGTTAAATTGGAGCAAAGTTGCGCTTTGGGATGTTCACCAAGATGCCATCAAAAAACTTTTAAAAATTTCAAGGATTGCTGAGTTTTTTGGAAAAAACTGATTTTTTTGAAAATCAATTTTATTTTTTCCTGTCGTTACTTTTTAGAAAATCAAAAATTCACAGATTTTGCAACATGCGCAACCATCATAGGCGTATTGAAAATACCATGCAGACAGAAAAGTCGGCGGTGGTCAGCAATCACCTGTTTTTTACATTTTATATTAACTTGTGACGTCATTTGGAAGAGCTCAATAGAAATATAAAAGAACTAAAGCTTGTTTGCAAAGCAATTTGACATTCGTGACGTCAGCACTCCGGCAGTCTAACGTATCGCTAATTGCCATTCGCAAATATATTCCAGATACGTATAGTGAACAAGTGAACCGTTCGCAACGTTAAATAATTTTGATATTTGATTTTTATCGTGATGGCTTTTTATAAAAGTGAAGAATTTAGTAAGAAAAATATTAATGATGGAGATGAACGTGTACGGATTCATGAATGGTCACGATCACGGTCACGACATTATAGAAATGTGAGGTATGTATGTATACATTGCTGACACCGTTTTTTCTCGATCATACGGTATATAGAATTAATGGCATTAATTTGCAATAGCACCTCGAACCCACAGTTTCATTATGGAGCCAGATTAAACCAATTATAATGAGTATTATGTTACCATAAAAGCCCGAATATTGGTTAAACGTAGGGTTATCCACGTAGGAGCCCGAAATATGCAAAAAAGGTCACTTTAGGTTAAGTTTAGATTAGGCCTATATTTTTATTAATGCAAAACCAACCAAAAAACCTAATTCTAATCTAACCTAAACTCACTCCCTCTTTTGCATATTTCGGGCTATTACCTGGGTATTTCTAGGTTTAACCAATATTCGAACTTACGGTGTAAATTTATGGACGGTCCATAAATTTAAATTCGCCGTACAAAAAATAAGTAATTTAAGTTACTGTAGATAAAAATAAATTAAAATATAGTTCGACGATAATTTAGTTGCAGCTTCTTTTCATCATATCTAGTAAAAACCCGTCACAACCACTACTCATAGTATGTATACCTATGTATTTTTAAACATCATTATGAGATTTAAGTCATAGATGTCCATAATATGAGTAGCGGTATTGACGGTTGTTTGTTATGATGAAAATGTTGTGTGATATGAAAAAGCAACAAAATATATTATCGATTGCAGCAACTATACCTAGTTTACATTCAGTATGTCCAATTAATATAGAACATTATACCTATGCATGATTTTAAAAATTTGCTACCATTATATTTTGATAGTTGAGTTTTTGAAATTATTTGTTAGCTTCTTAAACAAAACAGACCCATAATAATTCAAATCTTTATCATCCAAGACTTCCAAGAATTATAAAGTAATCTCATGTCAAAATTTTTTAAAATTATTGCATGCCTTAAATGTTTGCAAAGTTAACAAAAACATGTCTTTGATTACCTGCAATTAATATATTTGGTCCAATTTATCAGTTCTGCATCATATCCGAAATTCAGATTGTGTGTGACACAACGAAGAGTCAACGTGCAACGTGAACGAGAAGAAAATGGCAAGTAAAAAAAAATTGTAGTCTTAATTACTAATTGCACAGTCGTTCTCTTGAGTTCTCCTGCCTAAAATCTATATTGCCTTCCCTAAGATTTTAAATATAAATGATTGAAACTCATACAAGTTTACCACAATTTAAACTTAAGATAATTATTTAATTATTAAATTCATAATTATATTAAAATATAACACTTACGAAGTTACTAAATATTAACTATTTCTACTTAATCATACAATAATTCTGATAAAAACACTCTTGATTATTTATTTTAGAAATCGTACGGGCTATAATCATTAATATGACTATATTAACAATACTTAAATCAAAATTTATTTGAAGGAATGCTATTGTATTACAATAATTGTAAAACAAGTATGTAATAATAACTCGGAATAATTATTAAAAACTGCTCATCTTGTTATAGATGTCGGCGTCTTGTCTCTATTATTTTATTAGCCGTTTAGCTATAGTTTGATTTCAGATAATGCAGATTTTAATGTGCCATTTGTGTTTTTTTATTGGAATTATTATTTTTAGCATATTTGATATACTCTATGAAGTTATTTTTAAGTGCTCCTGTCCATTTTTCAATTATTAAAGTGCCTTTAGATACAATTAAAATTAATTAATTGGTGTATAGTATTTGTATTATGGGTTTGTTTATTTTTTATGAAATTATTTTTTTTCCTATTAAAATAAACATAGCTTACTAAATCACTAGATAGCCATTTTTAAATACAGGATGTTAATTAAGTATCTGGCCAAACTTCAGAAGGTGATTCTTTGAGTGTTTTTAAGGTAAAAAGTTCATATAAACATGTGTCCGGAAATGTATAATTTTAAAGATACAGGGGTGTCAAGGTGTTTTCTAATACACCTTTTTTATTAATATCTCAAAGACCCGTTGGCCGATTTTGTCGAAATTTCGACGTGTTGTGAAATTTAATAAGTTAGCACTAATTAAATGATAATTATTATTTACAACAATATTTAAACGATAAAAACTTATCCCAATAAATATTTGGCACTGCCTTGAATTCATTTATTTTTACTATTGGCGGTGGAAACCATGCAAGCTTTTTCTTTGTCCTAAGTTGTTAATGAAAAAAATAATTATCATATAAAAAAATATAGGTCCTAATAGCCTAAATTTTATCAAAATATATCAGCAGATCCGATGAGACCCGAATTATTATATGTTTTGGAACTTAATGATTTAATTAATTATTCCCTTTAATGCATCGATTGTGCGCATTATCCCACGCGCCAAGAAAAAATATTGCATTAGTCTAAATTTGTTATTTATGTTATTCCGCTCTTTCACGTATAATTTGCCCCCTGCTTCTCATACGGAAAGAGTTAGATTAAAATAGCCCAACTGTATCTAACAACCCATGCATGCCTTGACGCATATTCTTTTTTATAATAATATCGGCTTTCCCAGACTAAACATCCATATCCATAAAATAGTTGACCCACACTAATAAGACCTCATTTCGGCCCTCGGACGACCTTGCTCTATTCAGCTATCGACTTACGTGTTGACAAGTTGATTAGGCAGGTTATTGAACTCCATGTCGCCTCTAGCATGTCGTTTTTTCAAAGATGGGTTCCATATAAACGCGGCCAGAAGTATTATCAATACTAAAAACTAAGTGCACATTCTCATAGCCACTTTATTAGGGCTATCGGATAGTATTTTTAGATTTTCAAATTAGCTGATAATTTGTGAGATACAGAGGCCAACTTAATTTTTTTAAATACGGATCTGCATTTTTTATTTCAGATTTTGAAGGAACTCGGGCTCCTGAGTACAATGATATGCCACTTAGTATTTTTTTTGTTTTGTTTTTTTGTTTTGACATTTGAACACAATTTATTTAAACTAATTTCAAGTCCGGCACTGTTTTTTTTTAATATGTAATCTATTCATCGTTACAATATTGATTAGCATTCAAACTTAACAATGACATGGAGTAAACATTGAATACGGAAAATCAAATGCAATAAAATACTATAAAATAATTAATATAAATATAATATAATATAAACAATCAAATCATTTTCCCGGAAGATGGATTGGAAATGGTAGAGCAGTATAATGTCCAGCGAGGTTTCTGAATCTATCGCCAAGTGGCTACATTATTTGACGTCATTTGTAAAAGTGAAATCAATTCATCTCAACATTTACAAAAAAGAGTACAAAACGCATTCGGAAGTATAAGAAGAAAGTTCAAAGAGCTAAAAATAAAATTGAACGAAAAATAAATTTGTGCAATAGGGAGGGTGGCAACAACTTTCGAACATGTAGAACATTAGAAACTAATATATGTAGAAGTTGATTTATTTATAATAACTACGATTAATATTATGCATACTAGTAGATAGCACACTGAGATTTCAAATTCACAATAAAAAAAGTTAAAAAATAATATCTTTAAATTTCTGACCTGGATATTATTTATTTGAATCTTCCAATTGGCTCGATTCTCCTTATTCAATGTTAATTAGCGCTGATCAATATTATTGCGATGGATATAATCAGATTAAATAATTTAAGAAACCAGAGTCGGACTTGAAATTATTGTAAATAATAACTAAATAGTTTTGTTGCTGTTAAGGTACCTAAAACAAAAAAAGTATAAAGTGTGGCATATTATTGTAGTCAGGAGACCGAGTTTTTTCAAAATCTGAAATAAAAAATGCAGATCCGTATTTAAAAAAATTATGTTGGCCTCTGTATCTTACAAATTATCAGTTAATTTGAAAACCTAAAAATAATATCAGATAGCCCTAATAAAGTGGCTATGAGAATGTGCAATTAGTTTTTTGATTTTCTAAAAACTAACGACAGGAAAAAATAAAAATTATTTTCAAAAAACTCCGTTGTTTTCAAAAAACTCAGCAATCCTTGATATTTTTAAAACGTTTTTGATGGCATCTTGGTGAACATCTCAATACGCAACTTTGCCCCAACTCTATATAGATCTTCGTATCTATTACGGTTACCGAGATACCAATGCTCGTACGTCGAATTTGTAGCACCCTGTATACTCCGTGTCGCGAATAACCCTGCCATATACTAACACCTTTATTATTTCAGTTATTGTGTACCACTACCGAAAGTTACTAGTGATTGCAAAAGAATAATTTATTCTCAGTTAAATCCAAATTATGGACCAGAAGTGTTCGTACATGAAAAATATTTCATCCACGTCCACCATATGATGGAAGTTATTGTACAAGAAGATAATTGTTTTAGCTTTCATTTCATTTTTGACTGTGCTGGTTTGAAAGCAGGACATTTACCGAAGTTTAGTCCCATGGTTTTGCGAAAGGCATCAATTCTGTTAGAAGTAAGTATGATGTGGAAAATAATAAAAAAAATTGTGCACTATGTGCGTATATTTGAAGTGAAACTTCTTACTAACAGCTATTAAAGTGAATTTGATTCACTTTCACAAAATTTGTATTAAAATGACCGTCTGTCCGTCTGAGTACTCTATTCGGGTACCTCTATCCACGTGCCGAGTTTGGTTCCAATCCATAATTAAGAAAACTTCTGATGATTTCGTCCATTTAGAAGCATCGGTTCCAAACGTCGAGGGCGTCACCCATTAGCCCGTCCTCAATTATCCCAAAATTGACCCACATTTTTTTTCGATATCAAATCCTTAGTCCCACGCTGATGAAGATGTAAACGAAACGTCGTATCCAAGTTTGCAGGGTGGGAAACTGTGCACCGGCGCCGGCGCTCACATATATAGCCTACCCACCAAATTTGGTCGCGATCGGACGACATCAACTTTTATCATCCGTCACATCTCCATGTGACAGTTAGTTTTGACGTAAGAAACGTCAAAACTAACTGTCACATGGAGATGTGTCGTACATGGCTAAGTTGGGCTTGGTCCAATCTATCGACATACCAAATTTCATTTAAATCGGATGATTTTTTCTAAAAACCGTCTTTACCACTTTTCCTCTCGCCTATTGCGTCGCGACATCAATTCAATATTAGATACCCACATTAGTTAGCTAAATTTTATCTAAAATTACTAAAAATTAATAATAAATTATTTGCTATAACAGATGATATAAAGTATCAAATTTGGACTTTATAACAAATACTTTTATTTATTTTTTAATTTAATTAATATTACTTTTTGCTTTTATAATTATTATATTTGATGTTTCAGAAAGTTTATTCCAACAGAGTGGCTTCGGTATATATGATAAATTTCCATCCATTTATGGAAACTCTTTTAAATAATATTATATTACCAACTTTGAGTCCAAAAATAAGAGAAAGGGTAAGTAGAAAAATTAACATGAAGCCTTTTAATATCTACAAGTTATATAAATATAATGTTACATACTACACAAATGTCTTCTTTAATTTAATATTTCTTTAATTAAAAAATATAAAATAATATAATCTAACTTAATTAAACTAATTTATGATAAGTAATTGCGTGAATTATTTATCATAAATAATTTAATAAAATTTTAACTACAATCTGACTACAATTTAATAGTTACTCAATAGTCGGGTTGACTCTACCATTACTTATTTCCTTGACATCTTTTCTTTGAGCAAAAAGTCCACTTTGCACTAATTTTCGTCTTTGTTCAATTTTTAGCAATGTGCTGTCAGAAATCCAATGTTTGTATTTTTGTCTTTTGTTTAGTTGTCGAGAAGTGGCATTACTCAGACAATTTTTAAAGTCTATCCAAATCTGTTGGGGTTGGGTGTTCTCGTTAATGTTCCACGATGTTTTCAGTAGTTCTTGTTGGAAATGTGTTACGTCGGGGATCTCCATCTGATTTGGTCTTGGTTTTCTTACAACATTTTTTAACTTTATACGAATCTTTGCTGCCAGTAACTTATGATCCGAGCCACATATTGCTCCGGGGTCAGTCCGTACTGTCCTGAACGAGGTTCTCCATCTCGAGTTAGAGAGAATATAATCTATCTGGTTGCGTACTCTGTCTCCTGGACTATTCCATGTGTAGAGCCTTCGGATATGATGTTAAAATGTTGTGTTCATTATAGTTAGATTGTTTTCGATTGCAAAGTCAAGTAAGCGTTCACCCCGTTCATTTCTTACACCGATACCATATTTGCCAACAATAGTTTTAATATGTTCGTTATCAGTTGTATCTCCAATTTTAGCATTGAAGTCGCCGGTTACTATGGTTAGCTCTTTGTTCGGAATGTTTTGGAGAGAACTTCTTAGGTCATGGTAGAAATGGTCGATGTCGATATCGCCCGAAGCAGCAGTTGGAGCATACACCTGAACAATATTTATTGGGTTTAGCCTGGCGTTTAATTTTAAGGCCATGATTCTGTCGCTTATAGCTTTAAAGTCCAAAACATATTTCTGTAATTTTTCGGATACAATGACTGCAACACCAGTAAAATTTTGTTGATCGGCGCTTGAAAAGTAAACATAGTTATTAAGACTAGTTTTGAAGAATACTTGACCTATCCAATGTGTCTCCGATAATCCTGCAATATCGATTTTATATCTGGACAGTTCCTTTTCTATAATTGCTAGTTTCCAGGTATGAGTTTTAAGTCCTTGTACATTCCACGTAGCCACGCTCAGGGTATTCCTCATTTGTATATATAATTTGTTGTTTGTAAGGCCAGTAGCTTCCTTATGTCCGCAAGAATCCTGGCCTTTGATATTCTTGCGGCCGGTAGCTGATTTACCACTACTTGACCCGGACTCAATAAAAATGTTCCTGGGGTCGAAATATATACCACCCCTAAAAATATTTGTACTTGTTTAAGACTCACCCTGCATAACAAAAGATGAAGATGTTTACTATATATACAGCATGTCCCCGGATTGTCTTTACAAGAGGAAATACTTTTTTATTCTTGACATTTTGAAAAAATGCATTCTTTATAAAAAATATTGTTTGTTCTAAAATGGTTAATCCCGTTTATACTTTTCCAAATTTTAATACTGTTTAAGAGAAAATTATAAAGGAAACGTGAAAATATTGTTGAATTTTTGAGGTTATAAAAATCAAATCGGGATTCTATGGTAGTGTAATTTTGTCTGTAATAGATTGTTATTGATAGAATTTTAATTAAGGTCATATTTTTTTTTGTTTCTAAAATGCTAAAGAAGCATAAAATTTAAATTTATTAATCTAAAATGCTAAAAAGCACAAGAGTTGAATGCTAAGGAAAGGGTGATAATATTCATCGGAAAATGTGATACTTTAAGAACAATGAAAATATGATTTTAATCAAAATTAATAATAACCATCTATCAAAGAATGAAATCGAAATTATATTATCATAACAACCATATATACCGTATGATCGAATAAAAACGGCGTCAGCGATGGCTATGAAATGAAGATCGCTGTCATTTTATATGTAAAATTATATGGAAAATGTCATCGATCGTCATTTCCAAGCCAACTGGACGCCGTTTTTTTTTGAGCATACGGTATATTCTCATGTTTTTTTTAATTTTCTCTCTTCTTTTCTCTCTTTTTGAATTTTCTCTTAAACGGTATGGAAATTTGGAAAAGCATAAATGAAGAATGCGTTTTTCTCAAAATGTCAAGAAAAAAAGTTTCTCCTCTTGTAAAGAGAATCCGGGGACATACTGTATATTAATATAGTCTCTATTATTATTTTCAGGTTCGTGTACATAAAGGTACGAATGTTCTTTTTGAAACTTTTGGTAAATCAAGAATGCCCAAAGATGTAGGAGGAGAAGAATTATCTTTAGCCGAACTAAATGGTATAGTATTCTTTTTAATATTGACATTTTAAATTTTCATACAGGGTGATTCTTAACTTATACGCATAAACTTGGGAAATTATTGCCGATGACAAATAATTACTAATAATGAAAAAAAATGTTAGTAAAATATTTTTTGATTCTGAAATAACTTGAGTTTTTTTTCACAAAAATTTATCAACTTTATTAATGCACATTCAATTTAATGGAATTTACGTTTTTTGTTTTTTGTTTTTATTTCAAATAGTTTGTTATCTCCGTAAATAAAAATATTTTACTAACTTTTTTTTATTATTAGTCATTATTTGTCATCAGCAATAATTTCCCAACTTTATGCGTATGATTGACAAACATTTTAATTTTTTTTTATACAATCATTTGTTCATGCGGTAGAATAGTTAGATTAGCTTATAGATGTCAGAACTAAACAGATATATTTTGAAAGTTTCCAAAATAGAAATACTATCGAAATTTTAGGATGCAGGTACTCGTAACTACTTTTTTGTTATTACTTTTTATACTTTACGCACATACAGGGTGTCCCACAATTAGTGCGACAAACTGAAAGGGGTTGCAGAGGGCATCAAAACAAGTCATTTGAGTATAGGAGCCCATGTCCGGTATTATTAAAATGAGCGGAAGGAACTGGACGTGCACTAAGGTACCAACACGGACTGCACGCCTGGGTTGCCAGGGTTCGTACATTCATGAACAGGCGTGTGCATTTGTGTCTTTAACAGAATGGACGGTACTTTGAGCAGTTTTTGTAAATGTTTTGAATAAATAATGCAACTTGAAATTTACGTTTCACTCCACCTCCTGCCAAAATGGCACATTTCCGGACATGGGTTCCTATACTCAAATGACTTGTTTTGATGCCCTCTACAACCCCTTTCAGTTTGTCGCACTAATTGTTTGTCGCACTGTATAGTTCGTATCAAATAAACTTTTAGTCACGTTAATAAGCTTGACCAGGACAGCGTTGCCCTCTTTTACATATTTTCTTTTAATCAAAATATTTTAGGAAACGAAAATAAATTAATTATAAATATATAAATGGTTATTATTTATATTAACAAAACTCACCTTCTTAACAACACTTACTACCGCTTACCCGTTCAAAATATTCTAATAAAGTTGCAATGAGTTTTTTACGGCTATTAAGCTATATTGTACACTTCGCACTAAAAGAGGTTCTAAAAAGAACAATGTTCAACTGCAAGGTCTACTAGTAAACATTTTTAAGCTTAAAGTATCACAACACTATTTATTTAAACCAAAAACTCGTAATACAAAACCAAAGTATCAAAACGAATAACAATGTCAGGAAATAAATAAATAAATGTGGCAACTTGACATTTTTTACAGCAGAGCTACCACCTGAATCTCCAGCGGGAAATTTAAATTCCAGTTAGTCAGCTCGGCGCCGAATATATCCATGGTTGGCAACAATGAATTTAAAAATCGCGCCCTCGATTACGTAACTAAAAGTTTAATTGATATCAAATATAATTACCTGGTTTTTAAAAAATTGTCGAGTGCTGTTAGTATATTTTTTTTTCAGATTTACTCCTAAAAAAGTTCGAGCAGTACAAAGACAGATTTAACAAAATTCGTACAATGCGCGTGGACGAATCTCTAAGGCCGGAAAAGCTAGTAAATGATGATATTTTAGGTTACTATGGAAATTTTCGTAAAATTGCTGTTGACTAAAGCTATACACACACAGGTGCGATCAAGGCCGCGATCACGATCACGATCAGGGCAGCGATAACATGAGCGATCATTCTAGCACACACCAACGCGTTCACGTTCACCGCAGTACCTATATGTAGTGAGCTATCCTGTAGGTATACATAGGTACGAATTAAAAATGTGAATTATGTATACCGAAAAAAAAATATTCTTAAATATTTACCTACAATATTGAAACTTAAACAATAAAAATGTATACATATGTACTATCCAATCCAATTGTAACTTCAATTTTGTCTGAAACTTTTTATTTTTAATTCTATTATTTTTGTAACTTGGATCGGATAAATCATACAGAATTTTGTGTATTTTTACAGCTTTAATTAGCTGCTCTGTTAACTCCATTTCTAAATTTCAACAAGAAAAAACACACAAAATAACGGAAAATTCCTATAAGTTGGGTCGCGATCAAACTCGACAAGTTGATTCTGATCGCCACCGCAGAATAGAACGCCGCGCCGCGCCGCACAGTGGTTCGAGGTATAGGGATATAGCGGTCATAAATAGAAAAAAATACTTTAATAAGTAATTTGTAGCCCAGCTGATTTGTTTATGGCGAAAAGAAAAATATCTATAGATTTTTCTATAATTTTAATTGAATTTTAGCAAAACTCCGGCGCCGGTCTCATAATGACTGCAAAAATTATTTTTTGTAAAACGTGTCACTTAATAATATCGGTAAAGGTACACACCTGTAGATTTACCGTTATCGCTTAGTAATGATTTCTGGTGAACTCCAAAAAATGTTTTTCTTACATTAACAGCCCCACGTCCCCTCCTTTAAAGGGTGAACGTGGGGGATGAATTTTGGGAAATGTTTGGATTGGGTGAGCAAGTGAAAGGTGAAAGAGATAAGTTTATAAATTCTTTAAAAATCACTTCTTGTATCACTAGCTGTTTGTTTAGACCTTTCTTAATAAAAAAATTGAAGTTCCCCCGTGAAAAAGTAAAATAACAAGATACTAATTGAACAATGGGATCCAAAAAATATATTATATGCGTGCAGACGAAGAAGTATAATTTAATTATGTTTGTAAAAAAGTTTTATTTTGTAAATCAAGTGATTTCCATACTTAAAAGAAACTTTAAACAATACTAAAATAGACCTGAAGTACCTATAAAATTAAAAAAATATATATATTTCACAAAACAAAAAAACTAAACCACCATTACAACTCTGAACGTAAAAGTAGAAAATAATATTTATGTAAGAAAATATATTCTCAACCAACTCAGTAATATGTTCTATAAAAGGAGTTCTTTGGCTTCATCATCCAGCTCTAAACATTCACTTTTCTTCCACATATGCCGAAATGCACCCAAATAAGGGTTAGAGGATATCAGGAGACAATTAAAAACATCTTGATTTGTGGCATACCGTGAACATATTCGACTATTGTCTTTTCTGAACAAACGTAACTTAAAATTGTGTTGCGGTCTACTGAGAAACGCGCACTACTTCAAGTAAATATATCGCATGAATAGGCAGAATTCGGCAGACCATTTTTTGTTTATAAACAAATACATTTCTCAAACAATATTATTTGCGATAAAATGAAACGTCGATAAGCGTCGATAGTATTTTTTTGGTATTTTGAAAACTATAAAAATGTGGATAAAAACGATGTTTAAAAAAACATGAAAAATTAATACATAATAATTTCAGAACTTTCTTAGTAATAGTTCAAAAGTAGAGAAAACCTTTTCTTTAAAATATAAAAAATAATAATCATCTCGGGTTTTTTAAAGCCTCCAGGAATATTTAGATTCTTATTTGCTATAACTAAGCGAAAAAGACAATTAAATGTGATGGGTTTAAGAGAAAAAAAACATGGTTACAAATTTTATTCAAAAAATTTGTTGTTTTTTTTTAAACCAATGCTACTACTATTCAAAAAGTTTAATGGTGTGTCATATAGTTTAATTTTTCCGAAATCACTTATGGCCGCTCTTTAACATATGCAAGAGCCACTGTGCGCCGCTAGGCCGCTTCGTCTCAAAAACTCGATCGCGCCAATGTGAAACGGCTCATACCATAGACTTAAAATAAAATATAGACTACACTATTTACATCTCAACGCAGTCAAACAATCTTTTTTGTACACATGTTTACTTCTGGGTACAGTCGACCGAGCCTTTCTCATCCAGCCTATGTTGTCACGTCTTTAATATTATCAATATTTTTTTTCTTATATACACATATATTGAGATATTAATACTACATTTTTATAAAGTAGGTTTTAATATTCCATAGATGTATTAAATAGTCCTTATACGACTAAATTATAAGTCGGACACTATTTGAAAAGGATAAGTTCTTTACAATATGGCAACACTGATTAGAGGCGAGATCGCCTGTTCATTCATTTATTACCTTGTAGTACGTGTCCCACGTGTGCGGTAAAGCTTTGTTGCCGCTATCTCCCCGGTTGTATTAACGCATTTTCTTAGCTTGTAGTCCTTAAGTGTTTATTTTATTTACTTTTTCTGTTCAAGAACTATAAAATATGGTTTGCCAGTGCCAAATTTGCAAGAAATTTGACTTAAATAATCCATTTAAGTCTTGAAACGACTTTCGACCAGTAGGCAACTCTCAATTTACCCATTGGGAGTCAGTGGCGTTGTTGTAGAAAGGCGCTTATTTAGATAATATTTTAGTAAAATGTAAAATCTGATTTTTTTCTCTTACATAATCATTTATATAAAGGTTTTTGTAACAAAATCATAATTATAACCTTGTTAATAATTAATAATGTTTTTATTAAAAATATATTCCGGTTTATTCTAAAATTATCTTCAGAATCTAAAATAACATACAAGAATTTTAAAATGATATTACATTATGAAACAATATTTTTTAATATACCGGGTCGTCTCAAAAGTGGCTCGCTCACCCCCTATAACTTTTTTATTTTTTCAGATAAAAAAACAGATTTGTATGTTAGTAGGTATATGACATAAATTAGGATTTATTGACGTATTCAATTGTTTTTGGTCTCTTCCTGTTTCACCGAAATGATTACATCTTTTGATTTTTAAAGGCACCCTCGGTATATTGCTACTTTATTCGATAAAAAATGATACTCTGAATAGAATGAGATATCATATGTCAACTTTTGACATTGTCGCTTAAAAACAAATCGTATTTTAAATGTCAATCCAGGGTGCCATGGTGTTGTTAAAAACAAGTTTTAATCAAGGAGCCTTGGAAAAATAGTTTTGATCGTCTAATAGGTTTCGTGTCTTGTCTAGGCAGGTTAAAAGATGTACAAATCGTATTTTTAATCATACATATGTCATTTTTTTCAAATGGAACAAGGGTGACTCATTAGCATATTTGGAAAAAGCATTTTCTTATGAATATATTGATACCACACACTTGGTATTTCGAGCCAAATTGTCGTTATGAACCGCGTGTTACAATTACAATTAAACCATATGCGAAAATGTCAAAAGTTGACATATGATATGTCATTCTATTCAGAGTGTCATTTTCTATTGAATAAAGTAGAAATATAATGAGGGTGCAGTTTAAAAATTAAAAGTTATAGTCATTTCCGGTGAAACAGGAAGTGACCAAAAACAATTGAATGCGTCAATCAATCCTAATTTATGTTATATACTAACATACTAAATTTGGTTTTTTATTTGAAAATATAAAAAAATATGGGGATGAGCCACTTTTGGGACGCACCCGGTATAATAAAGACAGTACCGAGTTAAATAAATGTAGTTTTCATTTTATCCACTTCCTATCACCTTCCTTGCTTTAATGGAACAGATTTATGTTTTCTCTAATTTACATAATAAGACATCATTTAACCAGAAAAAAAATTACAACGATCATTTTTTTTTCTCTCCCTGTCGCCGATTCTATTATATCTGTGGAATAGATCCTGTTTTGATTAATATTAGGGGTTGTAAATGTTTGACTAAAATTAATAATTTATTATTAATTTCAAAAATTACGTAATTTCGATTATAAAATTTCTATAACGTGTATTTTATTATTTTTATCCTTTTTGGACTCTAAGACGTTTTTTCTAAACTTTTATTTAAAAAACCTGTCCTAAATCTTAATAAAATATAAAAACGTTTAAATACGATATATTTTTAATTTAATTAAGGCTTGATTAAAATAAAAAAATTACCCGGCTATGATACGGAGAGTTCAGGTGTACTTGAGAAACGAAAGACAACGTTGTGTTTCTCGGCAGAGTCGTCAGGGAACGACCGTTACGACAGAGACAACCTATCTATCGCTCGTGTCGCACTCGTTATAACCTAAAACAATAACACAACAATAACAAGATATTGTCTGACCGCATGTTCCAGCTATTTATGAATGAGATGCTCAGTCTATATTTTATTTTAAGTCTATGGCTCATACATATATGTATTCTGCAGCCGCGTGGAGATCGTGATCGCTGCCGTGATTGCTGCCGTGATCGCACCAGTGTGCGTACAGATTAAATTGTAGAATACATTGTATTATTATGTTTGTTTATAAATCATGTTTTTTTGGTATTAGTTCAATGTGTATTAAAAATGTATATTAAAATATAGTATAACATTGTTTATTTCTGATCTTACCCATATCATTTTAATTATAGGATGTGCATTGATAAATTTATATACTTGGTGTGAAATGTGAGAATGCATACTTCACAGAAATGTCAAGTAAACTTTATAGATGTATTTTAAATGTTTTATAAGCAGGTAGATTAATAAATATAGTTATTTTTTATACAAGACGATAAAATGGTATTTTATAGTCGCGTTGAAACGATTAATTCACGAGCGATGAAATCGCGAGTGAATTTATTTCGGGAGACGATAATGTAATTTTATGGTCGTGTATAAAACAATACTTTTTTCCATAGCGAGTTACGTTTTAAAAAATATTCAGATATTATTATTTCAAGGAATTTATTACGAGTAGAAAAAATATTCTGCTGGGTTGGCGTTGGTTTCTATGCAATTTGACAAATAAATAAAGCTGTCGCTTTAGTTGTCAGTTTTGAGTCAATATTTTTTAATTCTCTTTCGTGTCGATTGCTGATTGAATTGGAGCCAGAAATGGCTCAAAACGAAATAAGTAAATTACCAACAGATATATTCAGGCTGAGGCGACAAACGCCATATCCAAACTAGTTCGATTTAAATCCCGAATAACTTATGAAAAGGAATACAAAAATTTTCAAAAATGGAAACAATTAAAAAACGTGCGAGAAGAAATAAAGTTTTTAACCTATCCTCGCTGTTAAAGTATCATTTAATCGACCCTTGCGGTTAAAGTATTATTTTATCTTCTATTTTTGATAGATATAAGAAGGCAATTTTAACAGTTGCTATGGAAAAAATATAAATATGGGAAATATGGGAAATCTTGAAATTAAAATCTATTATAAATAATTATTGTAGCAGTATTTATAAATAAAGAAATCAGTTTATTAATTTAATTTGAACATTTCTATATTCGATAAACCGTAAAATTCTACGTTCCAAAAAAAACGGTTTCGAATTTATTTCGGTTTTTTGAACGGCTTCGTGTGACATCAAATGCAACCTTTCTCCCCAGCCAACACGTGCTAGGATATACTGGCTGCTACGGGAGCGCAAAATTTGGCGGCTAACAATTACGGGACAGAAGAGGAAGCGGCAAATAGCGGACAAAAGCGAGATGAAGCCGGAGCACCGGAACTACGTAATTGTTGAACATCCGTCTGAGTTTTCCGGGCGAACGCCTTTCCCAAACTCAAACAACGTAAGAACGAGTAGAACGCTGAAAGCGACAACGCTAAAGAATGCATCTTTGTTTGCAAATATGTTATATACAGGGTGAGTTTCCTACGATCTTCTCTATGGGTATCTCGGAAACTACTGGAGATAGAGAGTCGGTTAAATGGGGAAAGAATTGCAGTTTTGTGGGGTCATAAATATTTGCCTTTCAGATTTTTGAAAAAGCTCATGGCTTACTAGATATTTCGAAAAAAAAAACAAATTTTGGCTATTTTAAAAATTCTCCCTAATCCCATTATAATCTATTTTAGACAAAAAGTTTTCAGATAAAAGTTGTAGATAATCACATTCCTAATGAGTTTGTGTTCACCGATTTTTTCTAAAGCCTGTAATTTTTGACATATGACACAAACATATGCTTTTTTTTAAATGGAAACCATAGTTTGCCATGACTTCATAAAAAGCGCCATTTTTTAAGCTTTTCAGCGATATAAGCTAAAATATGTTTTTATTTTCAAAAAATTACTGACTTTAGCCAATTCTTATCTTTTTTAACTAATTTCACTTAGTTAGCCATGAGAACAAGTTCAATCGTCGTTGCTCTCAGAAATGTGAAACTGTCACATCCAAACTTTGTAAATTAAAATAAACAAAAATTGTAAATATGAAATTATTATTAGTTCGTTGAATTATTGGTTCAATTTTTCTTGGCCATACAGTTTCGAGGATACGTTAACCGGTGAACGTTACTTACGTTTTTTAGAGAACGGTTTTCAAGACATGTTAGAAAAGTTAAATTTAGTTACTCGTGCATTAATAGAGTGGTTCCAACATGACTTTCATTATGATACACCATTTCCAGAATGAAAGAAATTTTAAAAATTATTTATAACATAATTATGTAGACTCAGGGATAGAAAGAAGTGGACCAATTGCATGGGCCGCCTCGATCACCTGACCTATCCATTTTAGATTTTTTTATGCGGTATGGTTAGCAACAAGGTTTACAAAAGTATGGTATAGACCGAACATATCATAATAAAAGAATCCAAAACAGGACATTCAACAAAAATAACACGTTGAACCAATAGAAGAAGACTATATTGGTTTATAGTCTTCTATTGGTAAATACTTTTCTAAGGCGTTTCTGAAAGTTGATAAATTTAGGGTTTTGCTCATAAAGTCTATTTTGTGCGAAGTTTGGCACCGCAAAAAAATCTAGAACCTTGCCTAGCCCTTATACATTTTATAATACCAGATAATAAAAAAATCGTTAAAAATGTTTAATTGCAATATTTTATATTAAAAAACACGAATGAGATGTCTTGTATTGACTTTAAAAAAAGTACAGAACTGTGGGTTATTTTTATTTGTGTAGAAACCCTACTGCCATTACTCGCTGACGAGCATTTG